CTCATAGGACTCAGGGCGGCTAACAGCCTCATAAAAACCACAATACAATAATACAATAATATCTATATTAAAAACCGAATTAAAAGGAAATATTTAAGAAGGCCAATCATTAAAATTATCCTTAAAATTACCCTTAAAAAACCCCGCTAAAATTCCCTAGGCCAGACCCGCTTGTTGAAAAAGCCATGTCTTTAGGGCGAGGAGTCCCACCAAGTATCCCTCCTTCCCATTTCAATCCCATTCTACAGCCCTGCCAGGTAGGCTGGGCTGAATGCGGCCGGCCCAAAGCCGGGAGTTTAGGCGGCGAGGGAGGGGGGGGACAGGAAGACATTCTCACAACCAGTTTGGAGAGAGAAATTTACCATCTTCCCCCCCAAGAGACCCCTTTCTCGTAAGAGCCCCCTTAACTCTCTGGAGTGGTCTACTTGGTGTCGCTTAAAAACTAGAACGTTAGAAGGCAGGTTGTAGCAGGGGAAAAGTGCTTTTAACAACTCAAGTGGCATTGCGTGTGTGTGTGTGTGTGCAGATCGGAGGGGAAAAAAAACCAAGCATCACACCAACCATGTTAGTTAACTTTGCAATCTGAGCTGTGTTTCTTCCTCCGACTCTTTTTTAATAGACACAATGCTGTTTCTATTAAACGGTTAGGTGGCCCTGACGTTCGTATTTGGACATTTATATTTTATTGTGTTTTGCTATTCCTGGGTGAATTGTTAGGATATACAGAATAGAATAGAATAGAACAGAGTGTAGAGTACAATAGAAATTAGAATGGAATAGAATATATATTAATAGAATAGAATAGCATAGAATAGAATAAAATAGAAATTAGAATAGAATAGCATAGCATAGCATAGCATAGAAAAGAATAGAAATTAGAATAGAATAGATTAGAATAGAGTATAGTAGAATAGAATAGAAATTAGAATGGAATAGAATATATATTAATAGATTAGAATAGCATAAAATAGAATAAAATAGCATAGCATAGCATAGCATAGAATAGAATAGAAATTAGATTAGAATAGAGTAGAGTAGAGTAGAATAGAGTAGAATAGAAATTAGAAATTAGAATGGAATAGAATATATATTAATAGAACAGAATAGAATAGGAATTAGAATAGAAATTAGGATAAAATAGAATAGAATAGAAAATAGAATAGAAAATAGAATAGAAAATAGAATAGAAAAGAATAGAATATATATTAATAGAATAGAATAGAAATTAGAATAGAATATATATTAATAGAATAGAAATTAGAATAGAATAGAATAGAATAGAATATGAAATGGATAGAATAAACTAGACTAGACTAGACTAGAATAACAGAGCTGGAAGGAACCTGGGAGGTCATCTAGTCCAGCCCCCTGCTCAAGCAGGAGACCGTAGGGCCTATAGAATTTGAGACAAGTGGCTGTCCAGTCTCATCGTTCTGTCCAGCAATGAAGCACCCACAACTTCTGCTGGCAGGCTGTTCCACCGGTTAATTGTCCTCGCCGCTAGGACGTTTCTCCTTAATTCCAGGGTGCTTCCCTCCATGATCCCTTTCCTCTCTGCTCAGGAGCGGCCGCTGCCGGAGGAGGAAGACAGGGACTTTGACGTGATGTTCCAGTTGCGGCGCAGAAACGCCTTGCAGGGCATCCTCCATTTTGTGCAAAGGGGTGTCACCCGCCTGGACGCTCAGCAGGGCCTCCACCCCGTCGCGATCGAGAGCAAGGTGGTCAAAGTCACCAACCTGTCCAGAAGGTGCGAGAGCCGCGAAAGAGACGGTGGGGCACCTCCCGGGCGGGGTCCCCAAGGCTGGGGGGGTTTGTGGGGACCCACACCACCCAACACAACTGGGAAGCGTTGGCTGTGCGCTCGCTTTGGGGCTGAGGTGCCTGGATAACGGCCGGGATTACAGGCCGTCCTGCCGACGTACAACCACGTTTGCGCCCAACGTTTCTGTTGCTAAGCGAGACCTCTGTTCAGGAGTTCGGCCCCGTTTTACTGCCTTGCCTGCCACCGTTAAGTTGTTAAAGGGGGCGACACGGCGGTTAAGCTAATTTTGTTTCCCCGTTGACTTCTCTGGTCGCCAAAGGGGGGGATTGCATGACCCCCTGGGGCTCTGCAACTGTCATAAGTACAAGTCAGTTGCCACGTGTCTGAATTTTGATCACGTGACCCCCCTGGGGAGAGTGCCACGCTTGCGTGAACAACGCTCCCAAGTCCCTTTTTTTCAGTGCCGTTGTAAGTTAGAACGGTCACTAAACGAAGTGTTGTTAAGTCCGCAGTGGGAAAGGGAAAAGCGCACCCTTAAAAACGGGTCCCGGGAAATGGAGGTGCACGATCCGAGGGAAAGGGCTGTCGAAGGGAGGACAGTGGGGAGGGGGTCTGCAGCCTGGCTCCTGCTGGGTGAGACCCACACATAGAGGCAAACACACGCAGACACAAGCACACCCACACCCTCCGCTGCCCGGGGCTGATCCGGCGCTTTCCTCCGCAGCTTCTCCACCGAGTGGCACACCAAGGCCTCGCGCACCACCTCCCACTGCAACATATTCCAGCTGCCCAAGCCAGTACACAGCCTGCCCTCTCTGGAGTCCGTCTCCTCCGCCCAGCTGGTCTCCATCCGGCCCTACAGCAGCGCCAACGAGGTGGGTGGGCAGCGGGGCCGGGGAGGGAGGGGAGGGCCGTGGGGGGCAGAGAAGAAGGGAGCCTTGCTTCGTAGGGGTGAGGAAGGCTTGCTGCCCTGTGGTTTGCTTCCGTTGCTTTTGGTCCTCGCTGAAACAGAGTTTCTAGTCCTCATGAAAGAGAGGGCTTCTAGTCTTCGTGAAATAGGGAGTCCAGTCCTCCCGAAACGGAGGATTTTTTAGACTTCGTGAAATAGGGATTCCAGTCCTCATGAAACAGGTTTTTAGACATTCTAGCCCTCATGAAACAGAGGGCGTCTAGCCCTCATGAAACAGAGGGTTTCTCTTCCTCACAAAACAGGGCTTTTAGTCTTCATTAAATAGGATTCTGTCTAGTCCTCTTGAAACGGAGGGTTTCTAGTCCTTATGAAACAGGGCGTCTAGTCCTCATGAAACAGAGGGTCTAGACCTCACGAAATAGGATTTACTCATGAAATAGGATGCTAGTCTTCCTGAAGTAGGATTCTAGTCTTCCTGAAACAGGATTTCTAAGAAAACAGGGCTGGTAGTCCTCATAAAAACAGCACCCCCCCCCTTAAATTCCTTCTCTCCCCTCCCCCTCCGCTTTCTTCTTCCGCAGTCTATATCGTCCTGGAGAGCCGAGAATAACGGCCAAGGCAGCCCGCCGGCCAGGAGCGCGGTCCACGTGCCAGCGGAAGGCGGGCAGGGATCGGAGGAGGTGGCGATCCGCGAAGACTTGCCGGAAATAGTGTCCCACCTAGCCAGGCAGGAACTGCTCAGCAAGTAGGGCAGAAGACCGGGGTGGGGGGCTGAAGCTATTCCTCCTGGGCGGGGAGAGGGGAAACGACACACACATATGATGGCTTTATTCTTTAATAAATACACGGAATTGACCTGTGCAAACCCGGATAAAAACGGAAACGACGAGAGCGCCTCGTAGCCGGGAGTGAGAAATGAGAACGGCTCCATCCGTGGCAGAGACCCAACTGGGGAGGGGGAATGTGACAGGCCACTGCCAGGATGCTTGGGGGGGGTCCCTACCTGCCACTCACCCCAATTGGCTGCTGTGGCTTTTTAAAAAAATTTTCTTTTCTGTCTTGTAGCCAAATTAAAGTGGACCCTTCGATCTCAGAGCCCCCCCAAGTCTTGCTTTTCAAAGAGGGCGGAGAAGGGAAGCGCTTCGCCCCTCCCGGGTCGTTGGGGTAGTCCTCAACTTAGGACGATCGTTCTAAAGGACGACGTCCGGACTCCCACCATCGCAGCGGCCCTCCTGTGGTTGCCACGATTACGATCTGGGGCTCTCGGCATGCGTAACCGGAGATCCAGGACAGCCGCAGGGCGATCCCGCCGGCACCTTGCTTACTGACCGCCGTAATGGGCAGGATCCCTTACGGTCGTTAAGTCAAGGACTGTCTGTGCACTGCACGAATCGTCGCTTCAACCTCCGCCTCCAATTGGGAGGCAGCGGGAAGCGCAAATTACGTTTTTCTCATCACAAACGGCTCGGGCGTCAGGAAAGACCTCCTCCCACACACAAACATTCAAAGCGGGGCTTCATAAGAACTAGAAACATGATTTTCTGTTTCTCCTAAAACTGTAATTCCACGGGCACCAAAGAACAGAATACCACGACATGTGTGTGTGTGTTGCCCAATCCTCAACCTCCCTTTTGCTTTCATAAGACCCCTCTCCCTGTTCACCACAGTGTGGGTGTTGGATTATCCGGCCGCAGCCCCTTAGAGGACCCTAACCCTAAATTCTTGGAGTAAGATTTGTCCGTTGTGCAAAGCCGCAAGCATTGGGCAAGCCCAGCCGCAGTTCACACACACACACACACACACACAATCTACGTTCCCTGGCCGTTCTTATAGGTCGGTTCGAGATGGCCCCCTGCCATCTGTTTTGTGCGGGGGGCTCGCGAGTCCATCGCAGGGATCCGGGGACTCCCTTTGGCCACAATTCTGTTGAAGATGCTGGAGCAGGATCGTGGTTGCCCGCTCAAATAGGGATGGCAAGACCTCTTGCTCCGCGTTGGTAAACTGGCTTAGGACGTAGTCTTCTACGGCTGCCTTTCCCGTCGGACGGCCGATGCCGATCCTCAGCCGCGCCATACGCTGCGGAGAGAGAAGGCATGGAAGAGCTGCAGTTGGGGGACAGATTCGGCGAACCCCTCAAGCATCATCAGATCAACCGACCCCTTTTTCTTCTCAACAGGGCCCTGCCCAAATTCACATCCCCCTGCTCAGCAGAGGGAAACTGACTAGGACTTGCGTGCAGGCGGGCGGGCAGTTCTAACCACGCCCAGCATTGCTTTTTAGCCTGACAACCACCACATCTGTGGTCCTCTTTAACCAGGCTCTACCCCCAAGTGGGCGAAGGGGGTTTGCTCGCGGTAAGCCGAGATGCCGTTACACAAGACTGTCAATCAAGGATCTGCTGTTCCGACGGCGACACGAGGGTGTAAGGAAGGGATCGGAAAGCGAAATTAAGACCTACGTCGGAGTGCAGGCAGCTGATGCAGGAACGGACTCCGTTGTGACCTCTGAAAGATAGATAAACAAGGCCTGTGAGATCCTGGCTTTCCTTCAGGATGGGTTTCTTTCAGTAATCCTAGCTTAATTGTGGCTTAAAGACCTGGCTAAACTCATGCTAAGCCCAGAACAAGCCAGCCACTTTAGAGTACCTGCACTATGAATAAGGAGCCTGCATGGCTTCCAAATCTAAGGGACCGGCTTGGACAAAACTCAGCAGCACTTTTTCGTGCGGCTGCTGATAAAAACAGGATCGCCAACGTCCGATAACGGATATGGCAGAAGAAGAAGAAGAAAGAAGAAGAAGAAAGAAGAAGAAGAAGAAGAAGAAGAAGAAGAAGAAGAAGAAGAAGAAGAAGAAGAAGAAGAAGTAGTAGTAGTAGTAGTAGTAGTAGTAGTAGTAGTAGTAGTCTATAAACTAAAAATATAATCAGGTACCTGGCACTGCCTCCCAGTTTTAGGGAGATCTTCCCCAGAGGCTTATCCAGATCATCGTGGACCAGATAAATATCTTCAATACTAAGGCTGAATTTTTCCGCTGGCGAGAGAAGAGATGGTCAGTGGGAGAAGCCAATCTAGTTGGAGACAACTGGTTTAAAATAGGTTTGGTTTTTGCAACGTGGATTCACACCCATCTCCAGTTTTCCAAACCCAGAGATGGCAGGCTTAGGGAGGGAAGGGAGATAAGTGGCAATCCCAGATATCTGATTAACTCCAGATCATGGGAAGGAGGTTGACTACTAGACAGAAGAAGATCTGGAGAACATGATCAGTGTGAGATCTTCCGTTTCCTTCCGTTCTTCATCCATTTACTCCCTTCTCTTCCCCTCTTCATCCATTTACCCCCTTCCCTTCTTCATCCATTTACTTCCTTCCCTTCTTCATCCATTTACTTCCTTCTTCATCCATTTACTTCCTTCCCTTCTTCATCCATTTACTTCCTTCCCTTCTTCATCCATTTACTCCCTTCTCTTCCCTTTTTAATCCATTTACTCTCTTCCCTTCCCTTCCTTTCCCTTCCTCATCCATTTACTCCCTTCCCCTCTTCATCCATTTACTCCCTTCCCTTCTTCATCCATTTACTCCATTCTCTTCCCTTTTTAATCCATTTACTCTCTTCCCTTCCCTTCCTTTCCCTTCCTCATCCATTTACTCCCTTCCCCTCTTCATCCATTTACTCCCTTCCCTTCTTCATCCATTTACCCCCTTCCCCTCTTCATCCATTTACTCCCTTCTCTTCCCTTCTTCATCCATTTACTCTCTTCCCTTCCCTTCCCCTCCTTTCCCTTCCTCATCCATTTACTCCCTTCCCTTCCCTTCTTCATCCATTTACTCCTTTCCCTTCCCTCCATCTTGTACAATTCATACATTGCAACATGACTCGTTAGACAATGTTGGGTAAACCACGCTTTCTATCTTAACTGCAAGCATAACTCAGCCACAAACATGCTAGTCTTGCTGGGTGATTCACGGACGGTTCCATTCACCGTGTGACCCATAAACTAAACTGGGTGACTTGAGTAACCCAAAGCTGCCCAACCACAGGAAGGAATCGTTCTTGGAACAGCGGAGTGACTCCCATCCGGGATGGTGGTATTCAACAAACTCATCAACGGAACAACCAGCGGCTCAGCTGACTGCTAGGATGTGGACCTCACAGGAGGAGGTGGCCATCCATTGGCAAGTGAAGAGGACGAAGGAGAGCCTGCCGTACCAGCTGTGACCACGGAGGTCCCATTGAGGTTCATGAACTTGCGAGGTTTCATCAGCAGAAGCTCAGCATCTCCTAGGCGGGCCACCACTACGTCCGCGCAGCATTGCTTGTCTCTCTTCCACTGGTCACCCATGTCCAGCTTGGAGGCCAGGTGGTTCAGCACTGCCATGCCCACGCTGTGCCGGGTGCCAGGGAGCGTGTAGTTGCCCAGGCCGGCCACCTGCAAAGGAGGAGGAGGAGAAGCCATGAATGGTCCACAGGGATGGATTTCGTGATCTTCTCTAACCTTCTCCAGATGGTCCATGGATGGTCTTCAGATCACATTGTCCCCAAGCTTCGGACCCGGGGCTGGGACCTCAAGTCCTGGGAGCCAAGCTGGGCAAGATTCCCTAATTTCATCCCCTTTAAATCCAGCTTTTCCTTGGTTGCAAAGCAGCCAGATGTTTACGGGAGGGTGGAAGGTTGCATTGTGAGAGGTGGAAAGTGGGGACAACAGCTGCAACTCTTCTAAGCCAGTGTTTCTCAACCTTGACCATTTTAAGGCATGTGGACTTCAACTCCCAGAATTCCACAGCCAGCAATGCTGAGATCTAATCTGGATAGCAATGCAAGCCTGTAGTCCAAAAACATCTGGAAGGAACAGCTGGCCCACTGCCCTATCTTTATTTAAACGTCGTCTCCCTTCTTGGCCCGCATATGGAAGATTTCTGTTACAAAGAACCGGAAGTCTAATGTGATTGCCACGCTTGCTTTACCTCTTTGGGGCTGCCCGACCGAATTGACCCACCCAACCCGGAAGCGATCGTCTCCAAACCGGAAGGAGCTTGGCCATAATGGCGTTCGCTTGCGAGCGGCTGTCTTACCATCACCCGTTTCTGAGCGGTTTGTAGCTCGTCGCCGCGGTGACCCAGAGCCCAGCGTAAGAGTTGTCTGAGGGGCTGAGGACGCGTCATGGCTTCTCCGCCTCGCCTCTTCCCCCTTCCCGAAGGCCCACTTCCGGTGCCGGCCGTAAAGTTAAAGAAAAAGAAAAAAAAAGGCCCAGCTCCGCCTTTGCCTCTTGGTTCAGTTAGTGTGACGTCACTGGTCCTGTGGCCTATCGCGGGAGGCCTGGCGGGATGGTTTTGCGGCCGCCATCTTTTTTAAGGGCGGAAGCTCGAGTCTCTTCTTTAAGTCAAGCGCCAATCACAGCAGTGAAATATGATCAAACTTCTTAGGAAGATGCAAATACGTAACTTGCTATTTTGCTCTTTAAAAATTAAAGCCACGGCCTCTAGGAAGCAATTACAGCAATAACAACAACAGCAACAACAATAATAATAATACCTTGGGACTTGACAGGTTTGATAATAAGAACATCAGCAACAGCAACAATAATAAAAATAAAATATCTTGAGAAGGACATGATAGGAATAATAATACTAATACTGATAATGATAATGATAAAAATAAAATACCTTGGGAAGGACATGATAGGTATAATAATAATAATAATAATAATCATCATCATCATCATCATCATCGTTTGGGAAGGACTTCATAGGAATAATAATAATAATAATAAATACCTTGGGAAGGACTTCATAGGAATAATAATAACAATAATAATAATAATACCACCTTGGGAAGGATTGGATAGGTCAGGGGTAGGCAACCTTGGCTCTTTTATGACTCATGGACTTCAACTCCCAGAATTCCTGAGCCAGCTATGCTGGCTATGCTGGCTCAGGAATTCTGGGAGTTGAAGTCCATGAGTCATAAAAGAGCCAAGGTTGCCTACCCCTGGGATAGGTTGATAAAAATGCCAAATCCAGCCTAAAAGTCTGGCTGACTGCACCCACCATAATAACAAACATATTAAATATATTGTTTAGTACATAATATAAAGTTACTAAATTTGTACTACAAATCCATGTCATAAGTGTACTAAATAAATAGGAATAAAAATAATACCAATTTGGGGGTCATAGTTGAAAACGTGGGACACCTTAACGAAAAAAAGCAGCTTTGAGGCAGATGGCCTGCTTATGGCATCCTGACAAAACGTAGGCTAGGTTCCCAGTTCTAGTAGAAGGATGGTTTTCCAGATGAAAAACGTTTTGGAAAACATCCTTTACCGAAAACCAAGGCGGCCTCTCAGAATAAAAGGCATATAAAGATGTTAACCATTTTGTGAAGTGCAAGTATTCTTTGTCTCGTGTCCACAATTGGGACCAGCAACTCGGTTGTTAAGCAAAGAGGTCCCTAAATGAAACCATGATGGTGCTTTTGATCTCACTTAAGCTTTACAGTCTTTGGAAAGGTGGCAAATGCAAGGATTGGCCCTAAAGTCACTTTTTGATCACTGTCGTAACTGAAAACCATGGCTAACTGAGGTAGTTGTTAAACAAGGATTACCTGTGCTTGGGAAAGAAGGTTGGCATCTCACAGACCAGCGTAAAATCCTGGAAAGATGGCACTTGCCTTCTTTTAATGATGTCTCCGAGGCCTTGTGCGTTGACTTCTTTTCATTTTCTACAGCCCTTTGGTAGGTTTTAAATCTGGAAGTTGCTTTTATTTTTATTTTATTAATTTGATTTATATACCGCCCTTCTCCCGAAGGACTCAGGGCGGTGCACAGCATATTAAAAACAAGTTACAATAAAATACCAAAATAAAATTAATAAATACCAAAATAAAAACCCCTCTAAGACCAGATTAAAAGCCAAATATTAGTAGCTGTGTCGTAATTAAAATTATATTAAAAATCATCCCTAACTAAAATCCTCCCTAGGTCAGGCCCGCTTGCTGGAAAAGCCATGTCTTGAGGGCGCGGCGGAAAGTAAGGAGGTCCGGAATCATCCGGATCTCGGGGGGTAGTTCGTTCCAGAGGGTGGGGGCACCCACAGAGAAGGCCCTCCCCCTGGGGGTCGCCAGCCGGCACTGCTTGGCCGACGGCACCCTGAGGAGACCCACTCTGTGGGAGCGTACCGGTCTGTGGGAGGAAATCTGTGGCAGAAGGCGGTCTCGGAGGTAACCAGGTCCAATGCCATGGAGCGTTTTAAAGGTGGTAACTAACACCTTAAAACGCACCCGGAAGACCACTGGTAGCCAGTGCAGCTCGCGCAGCAGCGGTGTTACATGGGAGCGACGAGTCCCTCCCATCACCGCCCGCGCGGCCGCATTCTGGACCAGTTGGAGTCTCCGGGTGCTCCTCAAAGGGTTCAGCTTTTAGGGAAGAGCTGAACCAGTTTTTTTTCTACAAGTCAGGGCAATAAGGAACGAAGTTACACAATGACTTTTTGGCTTGGGAGAATATTAAAACTAAACTCTCTTCCATGCAGTCTTTCTGTGCCTTCAAACCCCTGTCCTGAAGATGTGGAAGCCTGACAAGGAAGTCTCTTTTTTAAAATTCCTCTTTTGCTCTCTAGCAGCCAACTACGGAAGTTTGAGCCCGCCGCGTTGTTGACATAGAGACCAGGGGACGCAAATTACAGAGCGGCTGGAGGAGCAATGGAGGAGGAAGAAGAGGTCGAAGAACCCAAAGCAAAGGTGAAGGTGAGGAGAAGGTTGCACCCCAACCAAGAGCAAGTGGATTGGATAGAATAGGAGATGCACTGATAGAGAGAATAGTAGCAGAATCAGAAAAGGCAGGCATAGCCACCCACCCCTAATGTATTAATGATTCACCTGTGGAGGTAGTTACCACCATCATATTCCTGGGTGTGCAGCTAAGGAGTAGGCTGGCTTGGTTGCTCAACAGTGAGACCCTGGTGAAGTGGGCACAGCAGCCCCTGCATTTTCTACGTCGCGTGAAAAAAGCACATCTTTCTTCCCCTGTCCTCACCACTTTCTACAGAGGGACAATTGAGAGCGTCCTGTCACACAGCATCACAGTCTGGTTTGGGAGCATCGCTGCTTCGGACAGGAAGGCGGTGCAGAGAGTGGTGAGGATGGCAGAAAAGATCATTGGCAGTTCCCTCCCTGCCATCCAGGACATGGCACAGAAGCGATGCTTGAGCAGGGTCCGCAAGATTATCCGGGACACGACACATCCTCTCCACGACTTGTTTTCCTTGTTCCCTTCCGGGAGGAAGGGGCTTCGTGGTATCCGAAGCAGAACATTCAGATTCAGCCACAGTTTTGCTCCATACAGTATTAACCTTGTGAACTCTCAAGCTTCCTCCTTCCGTTATGTATTCAAGATGGACAGTGATTAATATTTATATGTTATTTATATGAAAGGGTGTAGGTCTATACATATGTTGTATATAGTATGCTTAAATGTGTGTTATGTATGTGTACACTTTGAGAGCAAGCGACTAGATTTCATTTTTAATGTGTGCCACTGTGCCCACAGTAAAAAATGACAATAAAGGCTATCTGTCTGTCTGTCTGTCTGTCTGTCTGTCTATATCTATCTATCTATCTATCTATCTATCTATCTATCTATCTATCTATCTATCTATCTATCTATCTATCTATCTATCTATCTAACTATCTATCTATCTATCTATCTATCTATCTATCTATCTATCTATCTCTATATCTATATCTATATCTATATCTATCCATCTGTATCTATATCTATATCTATATCCATCCATCCACCCATCCATGAATCCATGCATGCATCCATCCATCTATCCATTCATCCATCCGTGCATCCATGCATCCATCCATCCATGCATCCGTCCGTCCGTCTGTCTGTCTGTCTGTCTGTCTGTCTATCATCTGCCATCTTGTAGTAATGTTGCATGCAAATTCTTCCTCTCAAAATCATGGGGATCCTTTGTGGGAAATCCTGCCCCATGCCCTGCAGTTCTTCCCATAATAATTTTGAAGAAACACCAAACCAGCTTTGATTTTTTTTTCCAGAGGCGTCCCTGGGTAGAAATTTGCTTTTAAAGAGGCACTTTTGTGCTAGTTACTCAAATAGGTTGGATATCCCTCTGTTTTCCTATCAAAACCAAGCAGCTCTACTTGGCCTGCGGGGGAAAACTCTCTGCATATGTCCAGAGGACCTGCTGACTTTTTCATCCTCCCTATCCTGCAGGAGGTGAAGATGTCAACTGTCGTTCTGACACTCTTCCCCACGGCTGTCACTGAAGAAAAGCTTCAAGAGTCGAAGGAAAAAGCCATCACTCGTATTTTTGGGCCCGCCAAGACTTTGTTGAAGGTTAAAAACCCCCAAAGAGCAGGAGACTTTGAAAGCATTTTGAAGAGGAAAATAGACGAGCAGTTAAGTGTTAACCGTCTCCTCCCTAAAACACAACGAATGAGGATCAGTGAATAATCCGTAATTGGCTTTAATTTTTAAAGCTTGGCTTAAAACTGGGTGAGGTTTGTATTAATGAAGGCAATTGTGCCTTAGTGTGGCTAACAAATAGGTTTGTAGCATTTGATTGTGTCTATTTTTTTAAAAACTAATCATATTGATGTATTTTCCTTAATTCCTTTGTCTTCTTTTTCCTTGCTTATTTTATTCTTCTTCTTTTTTTTTACTTTTGCTTTGTTTAATCTTCCTTGTTATTGCTTCTTCTGTTTTTTTATGGATGTGAGTCTTTGGAAAGGACTCGATAGTTAGTCTGAACATCCGACAGACCGATGATAACAACAACAATAATTTGGGTTCCTTGGGGTTTGATTTTGGATCAGGCCTCAGCTTCTGATCAGCCCAAAGAGGATCCAGGCAGAAGTAACAGAAAAGAAAAGGAAAATAGGTCCAACAAGCAATGTTTACTCCCTTTTATTATCTTTCTAAAGAGAAAATCCACACAACCTAATGTTATTTATGGCTTGCTGGGCAAAACGTGGCTTAATCGAGGTGAATTGAATGATTCTGTCTGGATGGGCAAATTGTTGGTTTTTAATTCTTCCAAATTTTTAAATATTAATAAATAATAATAATAATAATAATAATAATAATAATAATAATAATAATAATAATAATAATAATAATAATAATAATGATGAT